CTTGATTAAACAATCAACACTGTTTATCAGCACACATTTCTAAATGTACTACATTTTATCAATTTTACCATATGTATATTTTTCACATTTTGATATCTCTAACATTGGAGAGCATCTTGCATACACCATTGGCCATTTTTTATGCAGTTGATGTCTTGCAAATCCATATGTGTTACCACTGATGTTTCCTTAGGTTAAATGAGATATACAATTGTGCTTTGCTTGATTGTCACCGACTCAACATTGTCTGTATCCCATTCCATACTCGTCTCTATATTTTGGGTAAAAACTGCATTTTCTAGAATCTATCATGAGTAGATTTCATATTAAATTTTGCCAACGAAGGGTACTCTTTGATACTTGGTAAAAAAGAGAAGTCTTTATTCTTACTTGTGTGGGTGATGACAGATAGCAAGCCTGAGGTTTTGTTTGATGTTTTCAAAAGAAATCCTTTTGTGAATCACCTAATTTTGTGCTATAGGGAGCTGAAATCATTGATAGTGGCATCCTTAAGATTCCTAAGTTTTTGATTTTCTGAAAGCCAGCAATGGCCTCCCTGATATCTCTTCCCCCATCCCCCATAAAGGTTGTGAAAGACTCCAGATTCTCTGTCCTGAATTCTTTCCTAGAGTGATTTCTGTTCTCTGGACCAACTTTTAGTGATACCGTTTTCTTCTATCTTTTCTACAGTTTCCAATGTGTTTCTCCCTCTTTATCGGGAAAAAAACCCCGAAAAATTACCTTCCTTTTTGCCAATATGATTTGGGCATTGCCTTATCTAAGAGTAAGCTGGAATAGGCATTTGTGTGTAGACGCAGTGATGGTCAACTCAGCACAATTGTATAAGTGTGGGTGTATGTGTGTACCTGACCGACTGTTGAGCCCAGGCAAGCCCAACATTTGAGTCATCCCAACCAGATAATTCACAGACATGAAGGAAGAAACCTTTAGATCATTCCAGTCCCCAGCAATTTAAGTCATCTCCAGCATTCAGTGCCAAGACTCCTGGCATTATGGAGCATAAGCAAACCATCCATCCAGTGCCCTATCTAACTTCCTAACAAAATGTGTGAGAATTATAGAATGGTGTTATTTTCCTCCACTAAATTTTAGGATAGTTTTTTACATAGTAATGAGTAATTTCAACCTGAGGATAGGATTTGAGTGTTCCTGGGTCTTCTCATCAAATATTATTTTAATATTTCCCCTTCCACCAGGGTTAATCTTCTTTACACAACTAATCTACGAGCTCTTAAGGCCGTATTTTAGATTTATACTATATTTCTTTTAAAACTGCACTCACTACTGAGCACTCAGTTGGATCTTTCCATAATGTGCGTTGGCTAACTTGCGGGGTGATGCCAGGGCTCTCCATAAGAGCAAGCACTGACCACAGGCTCTGAGAGTTTCCAAAATAATTATTTTTGTGATAGAGTATGTGGGATGCCAAATGCACAAAGGAGCCAGAAAGAACTTTTCTGAGTCAGTATTGCATGCTTTTACCATATTTCACGATGTGTATGTGGTTTGCTGGGTTTGTATTTCTCTTTTTACTTGGAACTATTTGTCATTTCATTTGATTACAATAGTAAATGAAAAAGAAAATCTCGTCTCAAAGTTTGGCATTACACATTAGGCAAGTTTGTAACTTTTGAAGTTAGGGTGAAGATGAACTGTGTTCACATACAACTGTTGTATTATTGGCAGGGCATGAATTTGCTTAGGTGGCTCGGCGAATGGCCTGGTCTCCTCTGTTATCCCTTATGACCTCTCCTGATCTCTATGAGCTCTCTTGATCCTATGAGTCAAGATCACTGCATGTCTCACATGCACAGGAATGCTTGTTAGGTGAAATAAATTAATAAATGCACAGTGGCTGTGAAATTCAAAATGGTATGTAGATACTAAGTATTATTATTAGAATAAATCTTCGTAATTGTACCTAACTGCTGTCTTGTAAGACATCTTATTAATTAAATAAATAAAATACTGCTTTAATGAAACCTTTGAGTCTTTAATGGCATATTAAAGAAGAAGGAATTATTCAAAAAACAGTTTTAAATTACAATAATACAATAATTTTCTGGCGATCCTTCTTTCCTCTCATATATTTCTTAATAGTGGGCACTGTTCTTATGCCAGTGAACATTCATGAGGTTCGTTTGCATAGTAAGGGAAAAAATGCCAGGCATATAAGAATGATTATTTCACAAACAACATCTGGCACTTTGCTGGGCTTCCAAGGCAGATGCTAATATACGAATGCCAAATTTCTCAAGTGGTCATCCTGATGTGCAACTGCTCTCTGGCCCAAATGCCACCGCATTCCCAAATGTCACATTGATTCTCTTGCCACCTTCCTATGAATGAGAATGAAAAGATTTCTGCAAAGAACATTCTATGTCTTCATTTTGTGGGAAAGGCTAACCATCTCAAGTATCTTACAGTTTGGACTTAGCACAGTGCCTGAAATCTAATTTCATTCATCTGCTTTCTTTTCAACTAGTTATGTAAACAATGATAGCCTCTCTGGCTACCAAGATTGGGATCACAGTGGTTATGTCTCTAGCTTTTGTGTATCCTTCACAGTAAGAAACAAATATATGCTTTTAAATTAATTTTTTAGCGCAGTTACCATTCACTTCACTTTGAAGGAATAAATGTATGCTGAGAAAAAAAGATGCATTTGTTTTCTGAATACTAATAGCGTTTGTTGAGAATTAAGTTTTGTAAAATACTGGAAATCACACTGAATGCTAAAAACTAGGTGATTTCTTCTAATTACTAAGCCAACTTGATTATGTTTGAAAAGAATAGATGGGAGGATTCCAAGCAGGGATAAGCTTTATACCTTGGAGCTAATGACAACACTAAACTATTGGATTAATAAAAAGTATAGCTACATGACTCTCAACTTTAGTAAAAGGGATGGGGGACTTCAAAACAACATTTAGCTCCTTTAAATCTACTTCATACTCTCTCCTTTCCAATAACTCCCATTAAGAATTTGCAGTATGAGCTCCTGAACTTGTGATATTTGACACCATAAAGAGATCCTGCTTGGTGTATCATGAGAAGACGAGGCATTTTATTTATCAAAATATAATTCATTTTCTACAGAGTAAAAAAGCATTTTAGAATAAACTTTACATTTTCTTCTAAATTCTCAAACTGCAAATTACCCTTTTGTTTTCTCTCTCTTTGCTCTCTGGCTCTTTTCTTACTCACCAAGCAAGGTCTAAAATTATTTTGGTGACTTTAATGGCTACCTGATTACACATGTATTTCTTGACCTTGTCTACTCCAAAGAGTTTGTCTTTGTCTCTATTTAAACCACCAAAGTCACATCCTTTCATGACCATAATCAGCATATTTTGTCATCCAGAGAAGCTTTACCTTTGATATGTTAGATGCAAGTGCCCTGCTCCCTGACTGGATAGCATGTTCAATTATTTCTTATTCATTGGTGTTTTGATATTTGGGGAAAATGACCTGTTTACTCTTCCCAATGGTCAATAAATTTCAGAATTCACCTCTTTTCTTCTTAGTCTTAGATTATCTGCTCCATCAATTCAATTCACACTCTTAAAAATATCAGCAATATCTATGATCATTCACTTTTAAAAAAGAGATAGCTTTGGCAGTGTTCTCAATTTTCACATCCTGACCTGAATCTATAAAAATTCATGGACTTTTCTCTAAATTATGATCTCAGTGCTGCTGGACCACACTGCTATGTACCCATGCTTTACCACCTTCTACTCTCCCCAGTGCTTAAGTCCTTGATTCTTCTTGGATTCTCTTCATCACCCACCTTTTGAGTGTCTTAAAAATAGACATCACTCTACCGACTCTCTTAATTCTTTGCATTTACACCTAATCCTTTCCTGAGTTTGCACATTTATTTTTAATTTTTCCCTGTAAGAGTGGTGGGGCAGGCAACATCTTGTCTGGCAGCAACAGCAACCCTAGAGCACAAATATGTTGCAGCCCATGCCTAGGATGGTAACCAAACTGATCAGAGAGATTATGAGTGGTACTGGCCACACAGAAATAGTGCAGGGCACATTACATGTAGTACCTGTTTTGCAACTGCAAATTCGTAGCTTTCAGAAATGTCCACACCAGGTAACCTGAAAAGCAAACATGAAACTCTACTAAGAAAGTGAGCAGTGCAATTGTTTTTCTAAGATAAGTTTGTCTCTTTCTAGAGAAGCCCAGGCTAAATTAAACCCCAGATTAGAATAAGGAAAAGGAGAATATGAAGAAGAGGAGGAGGCAGAGGAACCAGAATAATAACTAGCACTCTGATCTCTGAAACTGACATTTTACCAAATTCAGAGTAAAATACATCTTCTCATAGCATCAATGCCTCTTATTCCCCCAGTTGCCAACTAAATGTGTTGGTAATTAAAACTTTTATCAAAGTTCTTAACACTTAAATTCTGAATGGAGAATTCTAGGAGTATCAAGGTGTAAACACAATGTTTGGGCAAAAAAAACTAAAATCAGTAGAACCCAAGTAATAAATACTGGGAAACAAATGAGATAAAGTTACTGGCAGATAGCATCTAGAATATGTCAAACTGGAAGGGCAGGTTTCTATTTCTGCCATGGGTATTTGCCTACTGCTTGTTTAATTTTTACATCTGTATACTTCTTTTCAAGTCTCCCCAGCACTTAAGAGTAAGTTTTGTGAGATGCTGGAATCTGCCAACCAGGAATGCAGTTGATACTTGTCCTTGAATATCATAAAAACATGCTCAACTATTCTTACTGGGGCAGTACTTCCGTAAACTGATGATGAACAAGGGGTCCACAGTGGTTTCTTTAAAATATGTAATTGCTTGCCTGCAAGAGATACTCACATTCACAGGCCTGGTCTCATACAAAGTCACCTACAATGTGTGATTATTAGGCCTTGTGGAATTCTTCTGGCCAGGTCTCCAGCATGACATGTTTTTCATGCCATAATCACTTTTCACATTCTCTTTCCTCAGCAGGATGAACATTTATCTTCCTTCTCTTGGCAAAGTACCTGTATTTCCTTTAAGACCGACAATCTGACAGTCTCCAACTTCTCTGGAAAGAGTGAGTTACTGACTCTTCTTCAGGTCTCTATGCTTCTCTTGTATCATTCTTCACACCTCAATGTGGTGGTGTGCTTGTGTTCATGTTTATTGTTAGGTTGTAAATACTGCCAGGGCAAGCTCCCTGTTATTCTGTTTCCATTAACATATAGCATGAATTTGAACACATTGAAGGCATTGGTTGCTGAAATAATACATTTCATAAAATTTAATCTTACCTTAGACCTTTCCTCTTTATATTAAAGCTTTGATGTCTTTCAAAATGTTGATTCCTCACAGAATGACTCATCGGTGGAGGTTTTTTTTTCTTTTATTCATTTCTAATATGATGAGTATCAGATTATTTTTTGAGCATAAGTTTTGATAAGGGGAAATTGGAGTGAGGACAAGGGCATTGTGTAGTAGTGAAATGGCAAGCAAAGAGCTCTAGAGAACAAGGAGACAAAGGACAGCAAAGATAAATACAATCAATGAGCATCACGATTTTCCCCAGGCCTGGTCTTACTCAATCAGCCTTCCCCATCCCACTGCGCAAACACAGTTGCCATTACGTGTCCAGGTTAAGGCACTTCTCATTAAATGAAAATGAGGGGGAAAGAAAGGACAAGTCTATGTAGTAATTCCTTCATCAAATTGCATTTATTGCAGTACTTGGCTGCAAAGTCCTTAGCCTTAGTAGCATCAGATTGTTATTTGTACCTCCATAACCTAAGTATGTATACAAGGTTAAACATTGTTCCTTAAGTCTCATGCAACTAGAATCATAATTATGAAAGATGAAGGACATGGCACTTGGTAACGCTATATGACTGACATATAAATAACAGGTGTATGTATTTTAATAATCTGTAACGAACCTGGAAACCATCATTCTCAGCAAACTGACAGAAGAACAGAACATCAAACACCGCATGTTCTCACTCATAGGTGGGTGTTGAACAATGAAACATATGGACACAGGGAGGGGAGCATCACACACTGGGGTCTGTCAGAGGGAAACAGGGGAGGGACAGCGGGGGGTGGGAGTTGGGGAGAGATAGCATGGGTGAAATGCCAGATATAGGTGATGGGGAGGAAGGCAGCAAATCACACTGCCACGTGTGTACCTATGCAACAATCTTGCATGTTCTTCACATGTACCCCAAAACCTAAAATGCAATAAAATAATTTTTAAAAAGTCTGCAAGTCAGAGAGAGAGAGGCCTCAGAAGAAATGGATCCTTCTGACACCTTGATCTTAGACTTCAGAACTGTTGAAAATACATTTGCATTGTTTAAGCCAAAAAAAAAATAATAATCTGTAACTTAGTATCACCTAGCCTTAAACTAGAAGAGAGCAACTTGCCAGGTATTCTGAGGGTATTTTGGAATTTATCAAAATACTTGCTATGAAATTCCATTAACATTTGGCTTTAGAACCGCAAACACAGTGACTGTCTGGAGTGAATCTTTTCTGAATTAATATTAAATCCCTTTGGCCCTTAGTACCAGTACTGTTGACAAGTATCTGCAGCTGGGATTGCTTCCCCTGGCTCGCCTTTCATTCCATCTCCAGCGGTGTGATTTAGAACAAAGAAGAGTATCTTTAGGGTGAACATTTCTTTCCTCTGCCTGACCTGACGTGTTGACCTTCTGCTCCCTGACCATTCAGGCACAGACCTTCCCTATCTGTATCCTTTGTCAAATTCTTTCCTGCTAGCACTATTCTTTAGCTGGTTAACTTAGCTTCAAATAGGGCCCTCTGATGTATGGCCTTATTTGGCTACAGTAGATCCCCAGAAAACTCACATTATTATTATTTTCATTGTGCTGGAGGCACTAAGCCATTCAGTTGATCCCTTGATAGGCACTAGAACATGGGGGCTAAGCTAACATTTATTTCGCCTGAAGCACAGAAAAATCCTCAGAAATAGAAACTTTTAAGGAACAAAAATAGCAAGTAACACACACACAAAAATCTGACCTGTTATGGTCAGGCTTTTTACTTTTTTTTTTAAATCCATGAACCCACAGCTCAATGAAAATATGATATTGAAAATGATACTCCCTCATGCTCCAACTTTAATATTTTCAGGAAGAGCTGTAGTCAGCATATATGTCACGTTGGGTTTTTAATCAAGCAAACTCATTTTCACATCAGTCACTCCAGGGAGCATCGGAGCCTTGTGCCAATAGTCAATGAGGTCATTTTATCACATCCCTGTGTATAGAAAATTGTGTGGCCAGTCTTACTAGAGGTGGGGAAAGTCAGGCGTGGATTTATACGACAATGTTGGTGAGGGACCTGGAGAGTTAGGTATGAGTATGAACTCTTGGGCTGCTATTCATGTGTATGTCTGTAGTTGAAAACTACATGAAAAATTAATAGAAACAGGTAACAAATAAATATCAGGTATATTCCAGGTACTGTTCTCAGTTCCAATTTCATTCTCGTAACTGTTCTGTGGTATAGATTTATTCTGATACCCACTCACAACAAGAAAACCAGGGCACTGCAAAGTTGGAGAATTTACTCCCAGTCAAACAGCTCATGAACAGTGAGCTTTCTCTTATGCTGTGGAGGTAATTTGTTTGTTTGACTTTATTTTGTTTTATTTTTTTTTAAATTTTTTATTGGATTATAGGTTTTGGGGTACATGAGCAGAGCATGCAAGACAGTTGCGTAGGTACACACATGGCAGTGTGCTTTGCTTTTCTTCTCCCCTTCACCCACATTTGGCATTTCTCCCCAGGCTATCCCTCCCCACCTCCCCCTCCCACTGGCCCTCCCCTTTTCCCCCCAATAGACCCCAGTGTTTAGTACTCCCCTTTCTGTGTCCATGTGTTCTCATTTTTCATCACCCACCTATGAGTGAGAATATGCGGTGTTTCATTTTCTGTTCTTGTGTCAGTTTGCTGAGGATGATGTTCTCCAGATTCATCCATGTCCCTACAAACGACACGAACTCATCATTTCTGATTGCTGCATAATATTCCATGGTGTATATGTGCCACAATATGAGGCCAACAATCATATGAAAAAATGCTCATCGTCACGTTATTTTGTTTTAAATCAGGCAAATCTCTTCCAGTGGTATCTTCAGAAAAAAACTGCATCTCTGTCTCTAAATGATTGTTCCTGGCTTCCACAGTCATAGCTGTCAGGATTTTTTGATTGCTTTTTTCCCCTCTCTGTGGAAAATCAAAGTCTTTGTGATCAAAATTATTTTGTCATATTGTGACACTGAGTCATTGAGGGACTGGCATTGATCGTTATTCAACTGTAACTTTTAGGTGAGAGCCCAAACAGATGGAGATTGATGGTGGATTTAATTATTTGGGTACAAGATCTGCAAAGAAGGCCAGTGGCTTTTTGAACCCACGTTTAGTTGGATCTTTCGGAATCATACTGTGTATATGGTGTGAGGTTGCTAGAGTTCTTGCTTTCTCCTTCTTTTGCAAAGGCTGGGGAAAAGAAGTTGCACAGTACCAGGCACCTTTGCTATGTGGTAGTGACATTTTTCAACCACACAGCTTCTGTGACATGGCCCCTCAGGCCTCCACTGGGGAGGCCTCAATGTAGGATCTGGCATCTGCATCCAACATTGTTAGATATTTCCTTTAACAGTTCAAGGCAAACAGAAAAAACTCTGAAACACCAGGAAAGCCTTTCAAACCAAGAGTGATAAGAAACACTTTCAAGAATGTCCAGAATTTATCGCTCTGGTCATCATTCAATTGACAAAATGTTATTTACTGTAGCTCAATAAAGTGGACCTTTCTGCTGTAAGAGGCAGTTTTTATTTCACCGTCCCCCACCATGGCTTTTGACCAGCCCACATGTATTTTAATAAATTAGGAATAATATTCTTATTTTAGTAATGAGATTTCTTGTGAAATATGCTGCAAGAGGATGCAAGGGACAACCAAACAATTATGCAATTCCTTTGCTTTCTGAATAGAACTTGAATAGAAAAATAAAAATCACATTCCTTCAATTGAAGGAGGAACAACAGCAAAGCTAAGACAGGCAAAGAAAGATTTCCTCTGCACATATATCACTGCTGAGTCAGACAGGCTTGGGAACAAATGCCCTTCAACCTAAGGACGTTTAGCATTTCGGGGCCTTGTACAAAACTATTTCCTACCCACAGGAAGGCTAATGAGTGCTCAGGGAAGCAGCAGCAACCAGGGAGAGATAGTGCCTCTAAAAGGTAGTAATTTTACTCAAAGGGATGTTGCCATTCCTTCACAGGAGTTAAATTAAGAGCAATATTTATAGAATCTCCAAGGTATGGGTCTTCTGAAAAGAAAATGAACTTGCTTTACTTCTGAACAGAGTGAAAGGCATTAATCAGAAATGCATTAATGGCAAAGTCCATTTTTAACTGCTTGTTACTCTAAATCCACTTCAGTATCCAGTACGGCAAGTGGCCTTTGGTATTCTGATGCCTGCTGAGTAAGGATAAGAGCTGGTGGCTTCCTGTTTCTCAAGCTTCTCATCCCCTTCTCCGCATTTCCACAGTCCCATTGTGCCTGTCCCCTATTAAGGTGCCTGCAGCCCAAGGTCTGGCTAAAATTGTAACTGCCAGATGGTTGATAAAGCAATTTGATCTAAGGTCCATTAAGAAATTGGTACATTTAAGTAGTGTACTGCCAGAAAGCAAGCTTAAAGTGGAAAACAGGACTGGCTGTGGGAGAGCTTCAGCTTCATCAATTAATAGCTCTTAACCTTGGGACAGATGCTTTATCTGTCTGTGCTTCCATTTCCTCATCTGCAAAATGAGGATAATAACACCAACACTGAATGTCGTTGTGCAAGTTAGATGAGTGGTACATATAAAGTTCCTAGCCCTGTCCCCAGCAGGTGGCACCTGCTCAGCCTGATACCAAGTCTCTCATGGTTCCCTTAATTGTGATACTCCTTCCAGGAAAAAGTGCTTTGTAGAAAAGGACTGAGGGGGAAATACAATTCTTTTTTTGAGAACATGAACCTCTAATTGTGGCTTTCTGGGCACTATAA